ATAAGAGCAGGTTGCAGTTGCAACCAATCATTCTTCTGTCGATAACTTTTACAACTGTGATCAGACTCAAACCAATAAAAACTTTTACAAGTATACAATTTACAACTATTATGAGAATCAGCACAAATGTTTAAGTCCCTCTTCAAAGCAATAATTTTTATGAACCAAATTACTCCAAATCAATAATTCGACCTTCAAAAATTAACCAAAGCCCATTAATCAAACGCCCTAAAAATTGATGCCAAACCAGATAAACTCAACAGAAAAATGAAAATTCCATGCGTACTCTATCTCTCTTGAGCGGCAATGCAGCCTTCCCTTTCTTTGGCTTAGGCGGAGGAGCAGTGGTTGTAGTCGCCACGGCAGCTTCTCCTCCCGTCGCTTCCACATCCTCCACCACATCAGTCTCAGTCGCTAACGCAGACACAGCCACACGACAAGGGTCAGGCTTGGAAGATATTTGAACCCATTTGCACAGCTTTCTCGGGCTTGAAGCTCTGAGCACGAACAAGGAAAGAGATGAAGTGGGTGAGTTGGACTTAGGCTTGAAAGAGAGAAAAGAGGGAGTGAGGTCCTGTGGGTGTACAGTAGAAGCAGCGTAAGTTAGCATCAGGGATGACGGTGTACCGCATGTCGCCATTTTTGGTGTTTCCGGAAGTAAAGCTTTTCTACGCTGTTACTTATCTGTAGAAGAAGGATGAATGAGATAAGAGTATTTTGTGGTCTAGCAAAGTCTAGCAAATGGTAGAGAATTACTAAGGTGTATAAACGAGGACAAGTAAGGGGTATTTATGTCTGTCCAAAGAGTAAATGTTAGTAACTATTATATTTATATGTTAAAATAATTAAACTAAAATAATTAATGTAAAAAATAAATTTTAAAAAATATATATAATAGACTAAAAATTATATAAACTAATTATTAAAATTAAATTAAATTTATATTTTTATTCAATTTTATATTTAAATAATTATAAAAATAGATAAATATTTAACTTAATTTTTTAATAATAAATATTAATGACTTTGTACAAATATTATACGTGATATATATAATCTTTTAACATGTTCTGTACGAGTGCTTTCTTCGTATTTATCGTACCACTCTCTAAATTTATTAATTAATCAACTTGAAATAATTTAACTAGTTAAATTCAAAGTTAAGTGAGTTATTTTTTTATTTATTTTAAATAAATTTAAAATTAATATATTTTTTAATTTTTAAAATAATATATATATATTTAAAGAACTTAATAGTAAAATAATTATACAATATACAATATATAATCTTTTTAAATATGATATAATTTTAATATTATTATATTCTGTATTTAGTATATAATATCATATATTAATAAAAGTTATCTAAATACGTTCTAAAATTTTATATTTATTTAATTTAAAAAAATGAAATTTTAAATTAGAAAAATATAAATTTGTAAATAATTTTCATAATTTTTTTTTTCCAAAAAAAAGTAAATTTCAAGGCCTCACATTTCCTCTAGTTTGACGTCGCGCGTGATTAGCACGCGATTTTGTCTGTACTCTCCATATTTAATCAAATCCCACCAAACTTTCTTCGACCACCTATTCGCACTTTCTCATCTCTGCATCAGCAAGAAGCAGAGAAACCATTCAAGAAAAAACAAAATAAAATCCAACGAAGAAAATCTCTTCTCTCTCCATTAATGGCTACCGTTGCCGCTACCTTTTCGAACCTCAGTACACTCGGAATCTTTCTTCACTCACCTCGCAATCACTACTAATATCACCAACAGAGCTTCGCGATCATCACTCGCCGTATCTCTAATACTTCAAATCTCAACGTTCCGTGCTCCGTAGTCGTAAATTCCATCGTGTTGTAGCATTTTCCTCGGGTAGAAGTGATGAAGGTTCTGGTGGAAGCGGAGGAGGAGGTGGAAATGGCGGTTTTGGAGGTGGCGGTGGCGGTGGTGACAGGAGAGGGGAGGATGATGCCTGGTCTGGAAACTGTGCCGATGCAATGCTTGCTTTAGCAGAAGTATTATGTTCTCATTCTCTTGTAAATTGTATTTGATTAGTGCATATAATTCTTTTGATGAGATCATTATGGACTATGCCAAACAACAATTTCGTAATTCATTTTTTGGATGTAATCAAAATAATTTCACTAGTTTTATGCCTGGATACACGCACATACAGAACCGTATATATCTGTATGTAATATCGTATTATATAGTTTGCGTATACTTGAATAGTGATATACGTTTTGAAATATGTGAAAATTTGAGGAATTAGCTAGTGTTGTTGTACTCGCTCGGTGTATATATGCTTTGTTAATGTGATGTTCATATGTATGTTGGTGCTGGAAAATTGATGGATCAGCTAATGTACATTTATTCATCTCTCTCTTTCTATGTGAGGAACTTTGGTAAATTTATTTTATATGAATTCCCTTGCTGGTGTGTACATATGATTTGTGCTAATTTGGTGTTAATTATGTGCATACCTGTCGATTATTGTGTTTAGGCAGGGAGGTCATTGGACAGCTTGCCAAAGGATTTGGCAGCAGCAATTGAAGCCGGGATGGTTCCTGGATCAATTGTTTGTAGTACTTTGAGCTGGAGAAGTCTGTGGTGTTTAAGTGGCTGCTTAATTTTGGAGGGTTTGAGGAACGATTGCTCGCAGATGATCTGTTCCTGGCTAAGGTTGCCATTGAATGTGGTATTGGTATCTTCACTAAGGTTGATGCAGGACTTTTTTTTTTTTAATTTATAATTTTTGGTTATACTGAGCTTGAAGATATACTTATTTTTTTGTAGAATTTCAAAACAATAGATGCAAACTGAAGTGTCTTGCTCATAGAAGTAATCTCTACACGTCTGTCTTACCTTTCAGATTGCTGCAGAGCAGGAGAAGCGAAAAGAGAAGTTCACTAAAGAGTTGGATTTTGTATGCGCTGATGTGGTATGGCTCTCAATGAGAATTGCATCATATTAATAATCTGTGGTATTGAATTATCAAACATGATGAAGAATTAATTAATTAATCTAACAGTTAAAGACAAACAATTATTAAAAATTATAATCTAGCAGTTAGAGTATAAGTGCTGACAATTAATGTTGTGAACTCAAGGAGCTTAAAATAGCACTATGCTAGAAGGAAAATATTATAGCAATCAAAATAGTTTATAATTAGTGACTAATAAGTTATTCTTGATATTTCTTGCTCATATTTGGTTATGCTGTCTATCAATGATTGATCTCAGCTTGATTTCAGCTTAGAACCTTTCTGTTAGAAGCAATGCTGGGATATACCCAATAAGAGAACATGTTTGGCCAGTCCCTAGTTAATAAATCAGCGTGATAATTCTTGGTTTGTGTTAAGTGGAAAGTTAAATAATTTTGCTCATACTGTAATGGACCGACAGATGATGGGAGTGGTGATGGACATGATAATTCTATGTAAAGACTCAAGTCACTTAATAATAATAACAAATTGAGTGTGAGCTTTGGGAAGTCAATGGCTTGGGCTAAAGAAATTATGGGACCAGTGGTCTTTGGGCCCATGGTGTTACAGTATTCCCATTTCCTTCTGTAGTCTAATGCCCACCTTTCTATTGAAGAATGTTGTACAGTTCCTTTTTTGATATCCATTATTGTCAAATCATGGTATTTAAACTTCTTCTGCCAATAATGTGGTGACCCAAAAGTTCATATAAAAACTGGGAATCTTTGTTTTTAAGTATTTAAGTTATCCTGATAAATTTTCATTATCTGTAATATTTTTTCTCTTTTTTTTCCCTCTTGAATGTGTATAATAATCACTACCCTCATTTTCAATTTGTAGCTACTCTTTTGCTTGATCTTCTTCTAATGCGATACCATCTATTTGGTTTCTTTCCCCCAAGTAATAGGTTTATAGTAGAACCTCCTCATATTTTTCCTTTTCTTTTTTAAGGTAATGGCTCTAATCGCAGATTTTATGCTTGTTTGGCTTCCTGCTCCAACGGTTTCACTGAGACCACCTCTTGCAGTCAGTGTGGGACCTCTGGCCAAGTTCTTAAACAGCTACCCTGACAATGCATTTCAAGTTATTGATTGACTTGACTGTTTTGACATGTAAGTTTTATCCACTAATAGCAGCTAAACCATAGACTTAATTGTGCGTTTGAGATGAAATTCTGTCTGCAGGTGGCGCTGGGTGGAACATCTTACTCACTTTTGCAAAGAATAGGTGCAATATTGGTATGTTTTTCGTCTTCCTAAGAAACTTGAGCTTTATGGGCAATTGAAACTTAAGGTGCCTCTACCTGTTATGCAGCTTAATGGCACCAAACTCTTTGCAGTTGGGAGCACTGCATCCCTGGTAGGTCAAACAATATACCCGATTAGATTTTATGTTTGGTTATGTCTCTGTCACTTCTCTGTTATTATATCATGAGTGATGCCCCATTGTTAAGCTATTGTGCATCTGCGTCTCGTTTTTTTCACATGCTAGATGCACTTAACAACAAGATGGTCCACCATTGTGCTAGGAACTTGGATAGAATTCTTAGAATATGTAGATTCAACTGGAATACCAGGAAAAAAAAACACGTGATTAAATTTCCTATGTTTATAAAGCCAAATAATTGAAGTAGTAAGATCCTTCATTGGAGCTTTTTCACGCTATGTTCATGCTATTTTTATTCTTTTCATGTCTTCTCCTCAACTGCCTATATATGCTTCGCTGTGCATGATCCCATTAATAGGAATGACTAATTTTTTTTTGTATAATTTCTTAACTTTAGAAGGAAACACGTAAGATAGGGTATATGGAGCATGTTTGAAGGACTTTTTCAAGTTGGTGTAGGTGTAACAAATGCATTGATAAATGCACTTAAAGCTTTCGATAAATCGTTTGCTAGTGAAGCAGAGGATGTGCCCATATTGTCAACAACTGTTGCCTACGGTGTCTACATGGCAGTTTCTAGCAACCTAAGGTAAATGATCGGGTTATGAGGTATAATTTTTCACATTCTTGTAGAAAATTTTTAATCTTTATTCTGGAGATTTTTTTTTCCTCAAACCCTTTGCTGATGATGAGTTTAATTATTTAGCTAAAACAAATTAAGCTACTGACAAATCAAAATTTTACTTAATTTACCATGATGGAACACCACCATGAAAAAAAAATCAAGGCATTTACTTCGTTTCTAAAGTTATCTGCTGCGGACCATTACTTTGTGATGAGTATAATTTAAAAGGAAGTGATGATATTTAGTTTCTACCCTTCATTGTGGTTACAGTGTCCTGAACTAGTGAAACATGTTTCTTCTGCGCCAAAACAGGTACCAAATTCTTGCAGGAGTTATCTAGCAAAGGATGCTAGAGCCCTTGTTACACCACCACAAGCTTGTCCTTAGTGGAATCTGCTTCGCTGTTAGAACCAGCAACACATTTTTGGGGTCATTGATGTAAGACTTTTAGTTTTAGTCCGAGTATCTCATTTGTTTATCACTTGCATTTCGAGATTAAAAATTTATCTGTAATCTCAATTTTGTGGCCAGGTAGGTGGATTGTGCTCATTTTCTTGGAATTCAAAAGTCACGAGAATGAGTACAACTTGAATATTTTTTGTCAATCTTTGTTTATGAAGAGATTGTGAGTTTTCAACTGAATCACAGTTGATCAAAGCTGATCACCTGGAGTATCTTTGGTGTCATTTTTTTTTCAAAATGTTGAAACTAGATTTGTGCACCCTCAAATGAGGTGCAATGTTTGCGGCTTACAGTATTCCGAAACCCTCGGATCTGTTAATAAAATTTTTTGGTTCCAGGAATATATTTCTTGAAATTCTTTCAGCTTAGGAGGAAAGTAGAGAAAAAGAACCTCCAAGCTCCCTTGTGCTTGCAAAGAAGCTCATGGAAAAAGTATCATATCATATCATATCATCAAATACAATCCCCTAATAATGTGTACATATTTATTTGTATGTTTGTCATCCACACCCATTACAACTAGTTCAGATATTGTATATATATATATATATATATACACTCACTTAGACAACTAATCTAACTATGTACATATGAACTGTTATATAGATGCATATATATATGTGTGTGTGAACCTAGGATACTTGAACCAAAAGCTTTTGATAACTATTACTGTAGCTGTTTTTTAAAAACCATAATTATAAAAAAAATTTAAAAACAAATAAACCCATTGAAAAACCATAATTAATCACTCCTAATTCCGACTTTTTATCTTTAAAATTGGAAATTATTACTATTTTTAAACAACTAAAAAAATTTATTGATTAAATTATAATAAAAGAATTAGAATTATAAAGAAAAAAATTTATTTTTATTTTTTATAATTAA